TTTCCTCCAATTTTAAAACAGATTCTCTTCCTAGAAAGAGCTCATAATTCACTTCAGAGAGTTTCATTGCTCATTTTGGCCAGCCTTTCTGTATTCTGTAGGGTGGAGCTGTTTCTCTCAACAGCTATTTCTACTAATACAACTTACAGAAACCCAGGAATTGAGATAGTGGTGAGAATCACTAAGTAATGGCACAGAACTGGAACCAGTGTCACAGGACAGCCAGATTTCTTCTAAAAAGAGTGCTGTAGGTGGGGGAAAAAAAGAAAAGAAAAAACCCAGCAACAATAAACCATCTTTCATCAGAGGAGGGATGAATTCTTCAACATGAATTAACCATATTTCACTCCAGGGGAAGTAAAACAAAATCTTGTTTTCCCAGACATCAAGACCGTTTTAACAACCCCCAAATACAACTACTTCCACCACTAAGCCTTTGCTCACTACCTTAGCCATATCTGCATTCCTAAATGGCTTATAAGCCAATCATATACTCCATTTCTCTGTTACTTTGTGAGTTTCTTTCTGTCTTTCAGGAAAGTTTTGTCCTCCCACACAGAATCTTATTTTCTACTTTTGTTCTTCATTATTTTCCACCTTAGCTTTGGTTTTTTCAAAATAGTCAATGAAACCGGTAAAGTTTGAGTGGTTCGACTAACTGAATTGAATAAGGATACTTTCTAATCAGCAATCTGTAAAAAAGTGCCACCAAGATGCAAGATCCTTCTGTCCCTCTTTTCCTCCAATTTCTCTGACATAGCCAAAAGAGAATGTTAGGATTGGGCACAAGGAATACTAAAGGGTGGGAAGGAGACTTCTGATAATTTCCCAGCAGGAGGATCTTTGCACTTACATATTTGACCTCCACCTCTATAATACAGACTGCACATACTGTAATCCATAAATAGGACCAACTCTCCTGTTAGATGGGCTGCAATGCACTGATTCCCTGACATGCTTCAGTAAAGCCCAGCCAGGGAACTATTTCTATGCATACATTTAATAATATATGGCCATATTTTATGCTCAGTTTCTTTTGGACCCTTCTTGGGGCCTTTTCTGGTGAGAGGTTGTTTTCCACTTTATTGCTTTTGTAGACTTCCTTCTTTCCTGATCTCAGTACAATTTGGGCTATTTTTGTTTCATGGCAGTATTCGGATTTTTTTTTATAAGTCCTTCAGATTTGGAAATGAATATGAAATTAACAAAATGTAAATAATGTTCTAACAATAGTTCCTGAACTTCTCCTGCCTGGTTGGTTTTAAATAACAATAAGGTTGTTGAACACTCAGTTCTCGAATTTACAGGGTTCCCCCCTTTCTGGAAGCCACACCTCCTAGGTTGTGATTTTATTCCCTAGGGTAAAAGTCTTTTAAAAGTATGTCATCACCAATCTTTAACACACATAAGAGGATGGCCAGGCTGTCAGCCCCTGAGGACACTCTCTCAGCTTGGCCCTGGTAAGGATTTGCTTATGGGAAGAAAGTCATTTTTGTCAGAAAAAGAAGGGAAAATCACTCACAGCTCAAGGCAACTTAAGATTCCATTTTTCTCTTGAGAAAAGCACTACCTAGTCGGAAGTACTACCGTGAAGCAAAATTTTTAAGAAAAGTTTCCTTCTCTGCATTCTCTAAACAGGGTTCTTTGTTATTACCCCAAGAGAGCTAGCTGACTACCAGTGGGCAATCAAATCTCCCTTATCATTTCCAGACTACTTTACCTTGCTGTGAACACCCGATGGTGGGAGGGCCACAAATGGTTCTCTCAAGCTTCACTCTAACCACCAACCTGCTGTGTCTGAATTGTTCCAGCCCTGTTCTAGCCTCCATACACCACTGGAAAGTCTCCCTTGGATTCCAAAAGAAAATTAAACTCCTTGGAATCCAAAACAAATAAACTTTCACAGAGTGGCCCCAGGTGGATTGGTTATCATGATATGTCAGTCTCACCTAACCAATAAGAGGGCTGGTTGGCAAGTTCCCAGGAAGAATATTCTTATATGAGCGCTGGATTAGAGGAAGCCAAAAGATTTTTGGCCATCTACATGCTCAATTTACACCCCACTTGAGTTCTGAGGCAGGGATCTTGTGACGGTTGGGGCCCTGCAGAGCAATTAAAAGAAATAAAGCAAAGTATTATATTTTAATTGATGTAATCTTCAAGCTCCCAGTGGAATCTCGGGTGATATCTGACTAGAGTTACCCCAGGTATCAATAGATGGCTATTCTGTGAAAATGCATTTAGGAAGACAAAACCCTGAATCCAGTTCATTAACATGTGTATCCGGGTTTTTTGGGGGGAAGGGATGTGGTGGGGAGGATTGGCTCAGAGTCCCAGGACTAAAAACTGAAAGAAGCTACCTAGACTTTTCTGGGATCAGAACAAAGAGTGGAAGAGGGTGGGGGATTACAGAGGGAGCGGGAGAGAAGGGGGAAGTCTGGGGCGGGGACGACACAGAAGGTATTTCTATTTTTATTTGCTTTCCAAGTCGCACACACCTGGGCACATGGAAGCATACTTCCCAAACCAAAACAGTTCTCACCCGTCGCTAGCATTTCAGGGTTTGTTTCCTTTTTTTTTATTGTAAATATTCCAGTTGAAGAAAGATAAACAGACAAGAAAAAACTGCTTTACACAGTACACAGAGTCAGATAAAAAATACAGAATGGAAAAGAAAACCAACAGCCAATGGATAAAAAGTGGAGACAAACCAAGGATCAAGGAGGACTAGCTGATTGCAAATTCACACAGCAGCAGCAGGAGAGACGCTCAGGCTGAGAAAAACTGCCTAGCGCTGTCAGTCTTGTCTTTATTCCACACAGTGAAGGAAACAGACTTTATAAATGATACATGGGGACATTTTTTTCACTAATCCATTAAAAAAGGTTGTTATCGATCAAGATATCCTGCTCATAAAAATGAGCTTTTTTTAAAAAAAACAAAAAAACCAAAAAAAAAAACCCAACTCTTCCGCCCCAAATGTGATCCGAGAGGAGGGACCATGGAGTCAGAAGCATGAGATGGAGCTGCAGGTGGTGCTGTGTGGCACCCTTGGGGTCTGTGGACACTTGGTCTTCAGGTGCCTTTCCCACAAAAATCTACGTTTTTCCATGAGGCTTGGCTTAAAAAATCCTCTAGTGTCAACATGCTGTCATTGGATGATTAAAGAGAAAAAAAATTAAAGTTAATGCGAGACAGGAGGTCAGCTAAGGACAAAACTGGCATCCTGTGTCAAGGTACCCTCTGGTACCCAGGATGGCAGCTCTAACTAGTTATTCCAGCACAAGAAAGATGCCTTCCTACCCAAACAGCAAAAACATGAATTCAGCTTGTCATCTCCAAAATGTCTTTATTTTAGTACATTCAGAACAGAAGCAACGTGAGGACAACTCGACTTGGGCATGGTGGTGGTGGTGGAGGTGGAGGTGGTGGTAGCAGTTTTTTTGTTTCTCTCTCCCTCTGAATTTTCTAAGTTTACAACCAGAAATTGCATAGAATTTGTTTCCCATCAGAAAATGACAACTCTTGGTGTGAAACTCCCAAGCGGTGAGGCCAAGCAAAGGTCAAGCAGCTGCTAGGAAGTCTCACCCCTCCCCTCAGATGTATGCTCTGGACCCTCCAACTTCCCACAAGTAGAACAGGTGACCAGCGTTCACCTGACACCTCAGAAAGCATCCTTAACTCCTAGACTGTGAGTGGAGGAGGATTTAAACACTTGGCCTAAAGTCACACAAGGGGGCCTATTGCCCACACTCAGGTGAAGATTCAAGGTTCCTGGATCCCCCAGGAATCTGGGAAATTCTTGATTACTTAAGGTCTTTCCATTTAATAAACACACACACACACACACACACACACACACACACACTGGCACCCAGGTTTTACATCTACCAGCAAGAAATCATCCAATCCATGATAGCCTTTGGGGAGGGACTTCACAGGCAGCTACAGAGTTTGCTTAGGCAGAGATGCAGTTAGTCAAATGTGCATCCCACCAACAGGGTGGCCCTGTCTTTCCTTCCTGGTGAGCAGTACTTTGCAAAGTTGAGGCCATGGTATGGGAAAATTCTACCCACCTCTCTGCTCCCTACAAGGCCCCATGATACTTTGTGCATCCTGTTTTCCTTCCTGGTCTGTCCTCAGAGACTGCATCACAACCAACCAAACCCAACCTGTAATAGTGAAAGTCACAAAACTAAAAAAGAAAAGACAGATTAACCCTGAAATCCCAGACATTTCAAGGTCTCTGTGAGTAAACTGTGGGTTACTTGCTTTTTGGCATTTAAAAAACTGCTTTAATGGCCTTTCCTTTGATACTCTCCCCTGGTTCACCCCAAGACCGCCTCCTTCCAAGACCGCCTCCTTCCAAAGACTGCTGATCACCACAAGACGGGGGAGAGTTCAGCACCTGAAATCTGATGCATGAGCGACTCCACAGCCTAAAATACTGGACAAAGGAATAGGAATTATTTAGATTTCCATTTCTCCCTGTCAAAAAAACCCTCCCCCCGCCAAAAAAACCAAGTGAACAGAACTGGGAAGTAGACAAAAGAAGAAAACGGGGAGAAAGAAAAGAACATGAACAAAATTATACAAATCCAGAAAAGAAAAACTTCCCTGTTGCGTTTAATTTTTTTTTTTCCTGTAAGAACTAGACCAAGGGTACAATGGCCCCTTTCCTGGGGGGCGGGATTTCCATCCATCCGTTGGACTGGTCTGGGCAGGCCCCTACCCCCACCCCAGACTCCATGTTATTTGGGTGGAGGGAAAGGCCCACTGGGGGAAGATGGGTCCTTGTGCCCATGATGGAGCGCATCCATCCCTTTGCCACTTGGGTGCCACGTGTCTGGGTAGACCCGCTTCCCGACCCAGGAGCTCTCTGTCCCTGGCTGCCGGGGGGCTTCAGGCTCTTTGATTGGTTTGTAAAGTGACAGGATCCCAAATCCGCAGAGAAGTGTAGACGCTGTACAAGTCCGGGCGTGCAGCGACAGCGACCGGGGCTACTCGGGCTCGCTGCTGTTGGTGGTTTTGTCCCACTCCAGGCTCTCCTCGCTGCGCGCTGGCGACGGCCGCGCTCGCAGGCCCTGGAAACGGCGGCACTCGGGGCAGACGCGGATGTGGGTGCAGCCGCGGGCCACCAGCGCGGCCTCCTGCGCCAGTCTCTGCGCCAGCTGGTCCGGCTCCCCGGCGCCGCACAGCTTGCCATTGCTGAGCGTCGCCGTGCCCCGGGGTCGCCGCTCCTCTGGCACCGGGGGCCGGGGCTGCGGGACCCCAGTGCGCCGCCGCCTGGGATGGATGCTGTCCTGACACAGGATGATGCTGCGGAGCTCAGTCACCATCTCCTGGCACACCGACACCTGGGGGAGATAGCCAGGTCACAACCTCTCAGAACCTCTCTGTCTCCTGCATCCCCTGGGAGGATGGGGGCGGGGGTGCCTATTATAGGGGGTGGTGGGGGGCAGGGCTTAAATAATTATATCACCTTAGGTATGAAGAATATATAAAGGTCTTTCAACCCCTCGCCTCACTGGCACCCCTATTTCTTAATGTCCCAAAGCACCCCATACCACAACGTCCTACAGTCCTGCCAGCTTGTAGTCCAGTGTTTGCACACCTTCAAAGACAATGACCTCACCATCTTGGGAAAGAGCCGGTACCATTTTTTTTTTATATATATACATTTCCATTATATGTTGCTTCTTTCTACTGAGTTAATTTCTCTCTCTGAAATTTTCATCCGTGAATCGTAGCTAAATTTGGACCTTGAAATCTACTCAAAAAAAAAAAAATCCCTCTACCACACAGTCTCTCAAGAATTTGCAAAAGCTACCATTTATTTGACATTGTGTTTTCGGCCCAAAGATCCTCAAATCATGTGACCAACTGGTTTGGGCTGGAAATGATGCATTCTGATAACTGGAACAAGGACAACCATTACCACTGCAGCTCCAGTCTCCTAGTGTAAAACCCATGGCTCCAGCTGTGCTTCAAAACTGAGAATATTTTGGATTTTAGGAATGCAATACAAGGCACAAATGTTATATCAGGTATCTCACACAGTAGGTCTTGGGCAGACTCCATACTCAAACCTGTTGCTATTTCTATAGCAAAATGTGTGTATGCTCACACAGAGTGAGACAAAGACCATAAACAGTAGTGAGGTTTATGAGGTTTTGCCAACTGAATGCATTTGCATAGAAACTTACAAAGAACTTAGAATTTTCTGAACTTTTTTGGTTTTGACAACATGAACCTGTTACTGTTATTGGATGTGCAAATGGAGGTTCAGAGAGGTTCTGTATCTTGTTGAAAACTGATTAACAAATAGCTGACTGAGAATTTGAACTTTAACATATCTGACTCCAAAGCCCCATCCCTGCTCCCTCAGAGTTCCCTTCTCTGAGCTGGAAAGGAGATGAAGTACTCTCTTCTTCTGTGTTCTCTCTTCCATTTCTATCAATGGGACAGTGAATATACCACAGCCAAATAGCCAACATAGTTTCTCCTCTTCATTTTAGCTATTGAGAGTATGTCAATTCTCATGGAATTTTTCAATGTGTGTCTGGATCATGGGTGAGCTCTTGGAACAAAAACCAAATGTGAAGCAGCTAAAGAAAGTATCACTTAATGGAATATGGCCTGCATTAGGACTTCAGACCCGGATTCTAGACCCATTATTATTACTAAACAGCAGAGATTCTTGTCAAGTCACTTAACCCTCTGTGCTTTTAATAATAACTATGACAACAAAACCACCACCACCCACTTAAACCATTACACGCAGCCAGACTGTAGTGACATATATTTACTGACTCTACTATGTGTCAAGTGCTTTGCAGTGGAAATACAGAGACAAAAGACACTGTCCTTACTTCAGGCAACTCAGTGTCTAGTCATGGCCACCCAGAGTGTTAAGTGCTCTAAGCCTAGGTTTCCATGGTGTTGGGAAGGAGGAGTTATGTTCTACTCTGCTGGTCCAGGGGAGAAGACAGGGGAATTGGGGAAGGTTTCCCAGGGAAGGAAGCACCTAAACTAGCTTTTATGGGATAAGTAAGTACCACCACCATTTAAGTAGTGGTCAAAAAGCAAGAGAGAGGCAGTACCTCTGGAAAGAGGAGTACTAGAGAGCTTGGTGTCACACAAAGCAAGGGAGAAAAGATTTTGGAAGGAACTGTCAATACCATCGGGGCGGTGGGGGGGTCACACTGAGGCCGAATAATGAATCAATGTGTTTGTTCTCTTTGGTTTTGTCTTTGCTTAAAGAGACCAGACTCTTTAGCAGTGACCGTTCAATAGAGAGGTGGGGAGAAGCCAGGCTGGTCTGGATTGAGGACCAAATGGGATGTGGGGAAATGGAAACAGCTTATTATCGGGACCCCCCTGGTTTAGGAGAGGGGAGGGATAGGGTAAAAGTGATAGTGTTATTACTATTACTCTCAAATATAGGTCAACTAGAGCATATTTACAGATTTTGGAGAAAGAACAGTCTGAAAAATACACAGGGAAGACAGGATAATCTCAGAGTAGCTGAAGAGCAAGGTGGGGCATCTTCTGCAGCTGTTAAGGGTAGCTGTGCTTGTGGGTGGGGATTTCAATTTGGGGCTGGTTGCTTCTGATTTCTTGGTGAGGTAGAAAGCTCCATGAATGCAGGAGCAGAGAGTACGGAGAATTTGTGATGGTGTGGAAGTTCTTCATAGGGCCAGGAAAGAGGTATGAGCTCAGAGTAAAAAGATTAGTAGGCAGTGCTATGTCATGGTCGCCTATGAGGTGGGACTCCATAGGTTCCAGAGTACTGCTGTACAGTCAGATGTTTCTCCAGTAGAAACTAGGGAAAGGGGTTTTGAGGAAGACCCACAGTGGGGATCTTGAGATTGAGGCTAATGTATTAAAAAAAAAAATCTCATAATGCAAAATGGAAGAACTGAAGAATATTCCCCATTAGTAACCTGGTACACACACACACACACACACACACACACACACACACACACACACACATCTATCTATCTATCTATCTATCTATCTATCTATCTATCTATCTATCTATCATCTATTTATCTATCCACACTACATCCTAAGTTATAGTTCTATAAGGGTTGGTTGTTCACCAAACATCTTTTCCATATTTATTTGCAGGGATGTTTCAAAGAAGAATCTGGACCCCAGAGAGATTAGTACCCTTTCTGTGTCTGGATAGTCATTAAGTGATATCAACCCAGATCTCCTAACCTGGAGACTGGGACTCTCTCCGACTCACCTCCTGGGCGATTCCATAGGTCTTGTCTGAAATATGTGAAGGCACCTGTAAACTTCACCCCATTGCCAGCTCTATGGGACATATCCTTTGAAAGCTTACCTCAGTTGCTTCTGAGTGTCTAAGAGTCCATAAAAATTCCAACATAGCCATAAAAATGGCCACGATTAAGCCACAAATAAGAACCACAAAGATTCCACCAATATTCTCCATTCCCAGACCTGTAAGACAGTGATAACAAATGAAAATGATTGTGAAAGAGCAGGAAGACATGATCATTCCTACCAACAATGCGAAAGTCATTTAACCTTGACTCTTGTAGATGTATTAGTACACATTCCTGGAAGACATTCAATTATATGTTTTAAAAAAATGCGGGGTGGTTGGAGTAAAGTCGGGGAGAGAGTTCTAGCTGCAAATGAAGGAGACAAGAAAAGCTGCAACATAGTTTTGGGGGTTGGAAGGTGAGGACCATCCCAAGAAAAGGTACAGGGTAAATCTGATTTAGTTTATAGCAACATGATACCAAAATGCTCATAAATGCTAAAAATTTTAGTCAATCTTCTTAACATTGTGTGGTATAAAACAACTGTTCTGATGAATCCATGTCTAGAACAAATATTCCAAGATCTAAAAAGCTCTGAAATCAGAAACACTTCTGGTCCCAAGCAGGTAAGAAATATTCAATGTGTTACTGAATGAATAATTTGGAAGATAAAACTTTTGGGATAGTGGTTCCCAAAACGTGAATGCTGTCAAAGCTACCTGGAAAGCTTGTTCAAAATAAAAATTCCCAGTCCTTACCCTTGCAAGGACTCAGGAATCTCTGGAGACAGGAGTCAGGAATCTGTATTCTAAAAGAAGTTTCAAAAGTTATTCTTTCCTGGCTAGGCAGGCCTAAAATTAGTTTGCAAGTTGATAACTCTGGAAGCATTTTGCAAGGTCTTTAAAGTTTGGTTGTATCCTCACTGGCTAGCATGATACCTGACATATAGAATTTACTTGATGCATATTTGTAGAATGATTTTATTTCCACAGTATCAGTGAGCTTAGCTGTGTAACTAAATGTTTTCTTTGGCACTGAGAAACTAGACTTTAGGAGGAACATCATAAACACATGAAATGTTGATTCAAACAAAAGGCAACCTTTATTCAGGAAAATGCCAATGTTCTCTACTCTTTGGGGACCTTGCCCATTTGAATGCTTGGTCAGCCATCACAGAACATGGAACTATTGTCAAGACAATGACATATAACAGTATGAGGTGAGCACAGTAAGGAACAGAAATTGGATGCTACCTTCTGCCCAATGGACAACTGGAGAAATAGCCCTACCTGGCCATTTCAAGATGCTTCGGGTATCCTCTGACAAAGCCCCAAAGGGTGTCTGTAGTTTTTTTTTATTATTATTATTTAAAATAACACAGCATGGTTGGCAGTGCCTGCCTCTCTGAGAATTTGCTTACAGTGGTTCTGAGGGCTCATGTGATGAATGCAGTTCACACAGACCATATGCTGTGGTCTGCAGATTCTTACTGTCAACTCTTGCATACCTGTGTGAATGCAGAGTCACTATGTCGAAAGTCAAAGATAAAGGATCATTAAAAATAGGGATTGTTCCAAGAGGAAGGTGCTTTGGGTTCATTTGAACAATGACCCTTCTCCCAGGAGACATTTGGGCAGAAAGCTTTTGACTGTGGGAGCATCAGGATCCACATGAATGGAGGGACAAAAAGGGACCCTTAAGAGGGAATGCACACTCAAAGGTTTGTACGCAGGAGCTACAGTCCATGGTTTAGGGGTGATCAGAACAGGGTATTAGGCTGTGTTCTGTGCATCCTGGATGAATCAGTTTCTTTAGCCACCACCTCCCCCACCCCTGTAGAGGCAGACTGAAGGAAGATCACCAAGTAAAGAGGAGTGACCACACTAGCACTAAAGATGCTGGGACACTCCAGTTTCTTTGGCACTTGAGAAACTAGACTTTTCTGGGAACGTCATAAACACATGAAATGTTGATTCAAACAAAAGGCAATTTTTATCCAGGAAAATGCCAGTGTTCTCTACTCTTTGAGGACCTTACCCATTTGAATGCTAGGTCAGCCATCACAGAACATGTAACTATTGTCAGGACAATGACATATAAGAGGTGAGCACAGTGAGGAACAGAAATTGGATGCTAGGTGTCAGGACATTCCAGTTCTGCCTGAAATGGAACAAAGGACTAGGACCCACTTGAAGGGCCTCCCCTTCCTCTTGTTTCTGGAAGAGGGTCCTCTTTCTCCTCTGTAGGCCTCATTCTGCTACTGTGCTGTAGCTGTGCACCCTGTCCACCTGTCACTCATCACCTGGTTCTTTCCCACTCATGCTTCTCCCTTATTATAGAAAAAAAAAGTCCTCCTTACCCCTCCAATTCTGTCTAATCAACACCCCTTCTCTCTCCTTTCTGCCACCACCAAGCTTTTTGAAAGAGCTCTCTATATCAGAACTATTTTAAGACATTCTAAAAGCCCTTAAAACCCTTACATTTGGAGAGACCCTTTCCCACATAAAAGCAGGTAGAAGAAAATGTACCTACCTCTTAGGGGAAGTGCATTTTTAAAATGAGTCACAAGAAACAGTTAGTTTACAATTGGCTGTCATTTCTCAGCAATCACTGTGCCTACCACAGAATATTTGCAAAAATGAGAAAAAAATATAAACCAAAAATTTTGTTTCTAAATGTGATGAGGTTTTTATGAATATTAAATTTAAAAATTAATGAAGTTGAAACAATGTTCCATTTTGGAGATATTTAATTAAACACATCTTAATTTAATTTTGCAGTTTTTTCTTTTTGCATTTGGAAGTCAATTTTTTTCTAGACTTCTAACATACATTTAGACACCTGAGAAGCTTTTTAGGCCAGAGCTGCTCTGTCTATAGTATCTGAAGGAGAAAATGACTATTGACTTTACTTTTGTTCTTTCAATTCAGTCCTCATTCCATTTTTGTCTTATACCACTAAAACTATTCTTACCATTTTGTTTATAACTTCTTGGAAATTTTCCCATCCTGATCTTACACAACCTCCCTGAGCACTTGACACTGTCCACCATGACTCCTTTTTGACTTTTTAGAAAGTGATTCCTTGCCACGCTCTTCTAATCTTACAAACTTGTTGAGTTGCCCTGGGAACATTCTGTCCTTGTTTTCCTGCATTTGGTCTCTTGCTTCTCCTCCATGCATTGGTTATTACAGAGTCCTGATGATTTTGCCTTCTAAATAATTTTCAACTACTCATCCTGTCCCCATCTGTCCTGCTACTTCCCTACTTCACCTCTTGCTTGGACAATTACAGCAGCCTTCAAAACAATTTCCCTGCTTGGAACTATTTGCTCTTCAACTCTACCCTCCACACAGTTACCTTGAGTGATCTCCCTGAAATGTAAAATCTGAATCTGAGCTGGATGTGGTGGTACACACAGGAGAAGGAGGTAGGAGGATCTCTGTCTGCAGACAGTCTGGGCAAAATCACAAGACTCTATCTGAAAGGGCTGGGGGCATGACTCAAGTGGCGCCTAACAAGCATGTTAGGTCCTGAGTTTAAAATTCTGCTGTTGTCCAAAGGAAAGAAAAAAGACATTCCAGGTATAAAGGACTGCATTATGAAAGACTCTGCTCCATACTGTGATATAAATTCATTTCTTCATTAAATTTTGCTTGTGATAATAGTAAAATGTAGCAGCCCCTGTTGAGGGCTCCAGCAGATGACCCAGACTGTACTAAGTGTCTGACTGAAGTGGGACTGAACGTGGGTGATCTACGTATAACAGGGACATCCTGTGCTGTGTGGGGGCAGAGAAAAGGGTAAGCAAAGGACATGTGGCTTGTGCTGGGTTGTCTGATTCTGTCATGAAAAGCTTCTTGGAGGAGCTGTGGTTTTTAACAGACGGTTGGATGAAAACAAGAGTCACCACAATGGCCCCCAATCTTTCTGCCTCTCAGGGCCAGCATGAGAACCACAGGTGTTGGCTCCAGTGTGCCAATTCCTGTCTGAGTGGCCTTCTAGTCCTAGGAGTGAGGCTTGTGTGCCTTTAGGAAGTTACTGGAAAGTGGAAGCAAGAATAGATTCCTGGCAGATTCAGAGTCGAGAAACAGATGGAGTGGGGAGTGGGAAGGGAGTGTTCGAAGGGTGCTGCAGTTCCGTTTAGCACAGTCATCAGTCATTCTCAGAGAAGTCAAATGCCTTCCATAGCACACAGCCATTCATCAGAAAGGCCTTTGGTATGGCCTCCCTCCAGCTTGCAAGGCCCTTGCCACACTCACAGATGCTTCAGCATCTGCAAGAGCGACCAGAAGCCATTGACTCACCTCCTCCTCCTCCCTTGCCTTTCTCAGAAGGGACCATACGTAAGCCACCCAGACAGATGGCTTTAAAACTGGGGTTTTCTCCTGATGCACAGCCTCATCTGTGCCCCAGCAATCAGCCTGCACTAGCTGAAATAGAATCCAACTCTTCTTACAAATCCCTCATTGGTTCAATGTTAATTTTGGTGTTACTCACAGATAGCCCACAAATACAAACAATAGTTCTCAAGGGCAAGGGCATCACTCTGTTTGTCTCCAGAACTCCAGAGGGAAAAAACATGGGCAGACACTACCTTTGCAGAGACTTGAATCTCCACCCACCCACCTGTTCTTCCTTTGGCTAAGAACCTCTTCTTGGACTCAGCGCTTAAAACCCTCACCTAGCTCCAGGTACCACTGTGTGGTCACCTGTACCTAAGATATAAGAGGGGAAGTTCCTTTTGAACAAAGTTGTATGGGGAGCTGCGTCCTGGAGGCAAGGAGGCTGAGGCCACATGCAGAAAATCCAGATACAAGGAGAGGATAGACTGGGACCACCATCCTGACAAAAGACAGTGTATTTATTCTATGACATTGGTCAACAAACCTTTATCAAGGAGATTCCATGAACTGAGAACTGTGCTAGGTGCCAAAGCTTTGTGTAGTGTTGGCAACTCAAGAGCATTTGACGAGAACATGGATTCACTGACCCAGGGTGGTTTTCAAACACTCGGTGTCTCAAAGCCACATTCACCTACATCCATGCAAATATATAAGGTGGCCCTATCTCCATGGATTTCTTTGTTATAAGTAGCAATTTCCTGTGCCCATGTATAAACTGACCTACCCGACCTTTCCAGAAAATGCAGTGACTAATCGTGTGCGTGCAGAG